AAAGAACACCTGAATATGACGCGCCAGGTTAGACTTGTGAATCTTTGAACCCCGAATCATTGCAAAACGGCGAACCGATCTTCAGCACAGAAAATACTCTGAGAACATCCATTGGCGAAATAAACGTCGCTTGTAACCTGAAGAAGTTTGCTAAATATACCTTAATTCCATAACCATAAAACCAATGATATGCATGTATGAAAAGAGGATAAATTTTAGGGTACAACACAAAGCATGATCATAACATGATAAACATCATAACATGTCATGTACACTAACCATTTCAAGGGCTTGTGGATTTATCTCTCCTCTTTTTTGTAGGTTATGGATCCAGCTCGCAGAAAAACCATCCGAATCAATTTTGTAGAGATTCCTCCCAAACTCAAAGAAATGGTTTAAAAGTTCCTGAGAGTTCATCATTCAACAAGAGATATGGTCACTTGCTCAGTTTTGTTACTACCAGTTTTGACGAGGGTTTGATGAGTGTCTTATACCAGTTCTTCGACCCTAAGCACCATTGCTTCATATTTCCAGACTATCAGTTGGTTCCTACGCTGGAAGAATTCTCCAAAATACTTCGTTTGCCTATATTGAAGCAGATACCCTTTACCGGTTTAGAATAAGATCCAACTGCTGAAGATGTTGCCGTAGCTTTACACTTGAAGCCATCTGACATTGAGTCCAATTGGGAAAGAAGAAGTGAGGTTAAGGGCCTCCTTGAAAATTTTCTAATGAAGAAAGCTCAGATTTTCCTGGACGCTATGAGTTACCATGCCTTTTAAGATGTTTTAGCTCTTTTGATCTACGGGTTGGTTCTGTTCCCTAATTCAGACCAGTTTATAGATGTTAGTGCCATCAACATCTTCCTTGCTCATAATCCAATGCTTATGTTGCTCGGGGATATTCTGCATTCACTCCATACCCGTACCATGAAGAAGAGAGGGACTCTTATGTGTTGCATACCTTTACTTGATAGGTGGTTTATTTTGCACCTTCCTCAGTCAGTGAAGAATGAGCTAGGTTTAAAATGGAACCAAAGATTAATGTCTCTTTCTCACCCTGACATCTATTGGTTCCCTCGATCCCAAGAAGACATCTCTTTTATTGATCGCTGCAGAGAATTCCCCAATGTGTCACTCCTTGGCATTAAAGGAGGCATCACTTACAACCCCTCTTTAGCTTTACGTCAGTTCGGTTACACCTGGAGGGACGACCCTCATGATATGCTCATTCAGGGTATTGTGTTCGACTATTTAAATGACCTGCAAGGTTATCATCAGAGGTTCATCCGCGCTTGGGGAATGGTTAAGAAGACTGATAGCATGACTCTAGGGCATAAGAACTCCATCCCTTTGGAGCCATACCTCAAATGGGTGCGAGCTCGTGCTCAAAATCTTATGATGCCGTATGCTGCTATCCTACCAATGATTTCAGAGCCTATTATTCAAGGGGTCGAGTCTCGCATCATTCTGCATCCTGATATGCCAACAAATTTCGAAGAATTGAAAAAATCTTGGATACAGCTCAAAGAAGAACGAGATACCTTTGAGTCCCAATTCAATTCCAGTGAGAAAAAGTGTTGGAACTGACAAAGCGACTTCATGAAGAGCAAAATCTCAATGCCTACATTAGCACCAAAAGGAAGCGTCCTTGGGTGACTTAGGAATCTTAGAAATTTCTTATTTGTTATTCCTTTGTAAACTTTGATTTCATTTGAATTTACTAATACAAAGTCTTTGTTTTTGTTTTGGTTAAAAGAGTTTAAATCCTATGAGGCCCTTGAAAACATTGCATAAACATATTATACATATCATCGCATAAACAGGTTGTCAGGACAGGTTTCTTATTTTTTTCTCTGTTTATTTCAGCAAAAGAAATGGCTCTTGAATAGACAGTGAAGGACCTCCAAGCTCATAACGCTCAGTTTCAGCAAATGTTCCTGGCTTTGGCCCAGGGGCAAGAAGACCTGAAAGCTTTAATCATCAAAGAAAAGACCAAGAGGCCAAAGAAACCAGCTGGTGTACTGAATTTGGGAAGAAGGATCATAGGACCGGTTAAGCGAGCTATAGATTTCGCAACCCCTTCAAATGAGGGGGACAATCAAGAAGATAAGCCAGTGGAAGAAAACAACAATCCAGGGTCTGAGGAAGATGAACCTGACTATTCCGAGGAGAGGTATCCTCCTGCTGATGATAAATACAAACAACTAGAGGATCAAATCAATTCTATGGAGATCGAGAGAATACATGGGCTGGATTTTGATGAGCTAGGACTGATTTCAGGGGTGGTCATCCCACAAAAATTCAAAGTCCCTACATTTGCGAAGTACGATGGTGTCTCCTGTCCTAAACTGCATTTAAGGTCGTATGTCAGGAAGATTAAACCCTACACTACTGAGAGGAATTTGTGGTACATTTCTTCCAGGAGATTTTGTCAGGGACTCAATTGGAATGGTTCTATCAACTGGAGAGAACCAACGTTCGCAATTGGGAAGATTTGGCTGCTGCTTTTTATAAGTAGTATCAATATAATGCTGACCTCGCCCCGACTCGTACACAATTGCAAAGTATGTCCATGAGCTCCGACGAAGGTTTTAAAGATTATGCCCAAAAATGGAGAGACCTTGCAGGAAGAGTCCAACCTCCGTTGTCTGATAGGGAGCTGGTGGACATGTTCTTGGGCACGTTATCCGGGCCGTTCTATAACCATCTGATTGGGAGTTCTTCTACTGGGTTCACTGAACTAATACTTGTAATACCCCAAATTTGTCCTACCCTTCTACTTTTATCTGGTTTACGCATTGTCGCACTTTTCTCGTGTACATAACTCCATTAGGTCATTTAACATTGCATACATTCACTAACAACATAACTTGGCATGGGATCAAAGATTTTGAGATGTATGGTTTCTCTTTGGCTTTAAGAGTCTCACTTTCATTCAAGGCTGATTCATGTTATTTACTTAAAAATCTTTGGCTTATGGAGCTAGGGTTTTTGTGTGCATGATTCATCGAGAATTTCTTGCATCGGGATATTATAAGACATCCATCTTTAAGGTCCCTTCAAAAGCATCAAGTGTTTACTACCTTCTCAATGATTCAGATTCAAATGAGAATGCTTTGAATTAAGGTTTTTGTACTTATCTTCATCGTTGCAAGGGTTATATTCCTGATAGGAGTCTATGAGTTTGAGGATGCTTGGGTGATACTTTGGTTGCTCGGGATACAGGGTACAAGATATGGTTTGTGGATTCAAAACATCATCACTCTGTCAGATATCAGTTACTTATCATGCAAGTTAAGTCTGGCACGAATTTGGAGAGTTAAAATTAGAGGTTCATTGAGAATGCAAGATAACTTGGATTTGAAGTCGATTCAAGTGGTTCCATTATGAAAATTTGGTAAGCATTCGATCATAAGGATGTTTTTTTGAAAGCAAGATTCAAAATATAAGGGCTAAGACACAAAGGCATTCGCACAAAGTTCGACATTGTTCAAACTCTTCATCCGTAAATTTCATCATCCTTTATCCAAGTTTGTCCAAACTAAATCATTTCCAAATCCATCATTCATCATTATCATTCAACAAAAGCTTGTAAGGTTGTGCAAACCTCATTCAAATTTCTCATTATTCATTCGAACATTAAAGAATAATAAACATGGATTTCTGAGTGATGGAAATAAAGTATGGATCTTTTTGTCATGGCAAGCTTCAAACTTGAAGTTCCGTTCGAAATGTTATTCAAGTATCGATAAAATCTTATCCAAATTCATTCAAAGTCCAATTAGAGTCTGAAGCATTTCATTCTAATAAATCATCATATGCCAAGGTCATTCATGATCCAAAAACATTACAAATATACAAATTGAAAGAATGTTAGACATTACAAGTTCAGTTCTAAGCTTATGCTAAAGCTAAGCTAAGCCTTATTATTGCTACGATCTTCGAAACTTCGTGTTGATGCCCTCAATAATTGTTGCCTTTCTCCCCATATCTTAACTCTATCAAACTTGGCTTTTCATCCTCGCACCATCGAATTCCAAACCTGCAATCAAGAAAAGGCTCCAAAACAGCCTGCACAATCCAGAGAAGACACCCTGTTCAAGAAAAATTAGCAGAGTGAAACCAACTGTCAAACAGAATAAAACTCTATAACTGCTAGCCAAAACAGAATTTTTTAAATTCCCTAAACCATTTTCTAAATCAGCCCTGCACATAAAACTCTAACAACCAACTTTTCTAACAGCTTTCATAATCTGTAACTAACCTAAGCAATTCACCTCCTAACCATTTTTCCCATTCCTCAAACCTCTAACCAATCATAACCAAACTTCTAACAGAATTAGTAACACTGCAAAATAGAATAACTACCATTTTCTAACTAACTTCCATATAACCACTCCATAACCGACTGTAACAGAAAATCAAAAACCAACCAACTGTCAAACACATTCCCCAACCATTTCTAACTACCTAACTAACCCCTATAAAACAGAAATTAGATTCACAACAAAAGGAATTGATAACAATAGGGAGAAAATAAAAACTCACCAAGGATCTGAGGACTCTCTCAGTATTTCTCTACCATCTTCTTTGCATCAAGATCTTCATCATCATCGAACAATCCTCCATTGAAGCTCTTTCAATCTTCACGACTCCATGATTTCTCAACATTGTTTCTTTATGCGTTTTCATCTGTAATTATTGACTTTTTCGTAGTTCTTTAACAATAACTTCAACGAATCTTCATTGCCATCAAGAATCCGCAACTGCAAATCGATTCAACGATTATCATTGTTTTTCTTTCGATCAATATCTCTGCAAAGAAACGCAACCATCACCACGCGTATCAACTCTTCACTTCTTAATGAAACGCTTAGTTTCGCACAACAACAGCGAGGAACTCATGGAAACAAAATGTAGAACAAGAATATATACCTGAACTACTCTGGTAGGCTGGTATCGATCGCCACCGTTATTCATCTTTTCACCCTTTTCAAGATGCCGCGGCGAAAAGGGAGTGATGTGGTTCGAAATCGCCAGTGTCTCGTAACCCAGAAATCCACCATCACCGTCTGATTTGTCTTTAGGGGTTTACAGATTTGTTCGAATTTTCTAGACGTGGGTTGATTTGTTTCAGATTGATGAAAAAAGAGGGTAGTTTCGAAGCCATGGTTGAGTTTCAGTGTTTGAGGCCATGACGAGGAGAATAAGGCAAGGGAAGATGAGGTAGAGGACGATCGGAGCGAGACGAAGGAGGTGGCATCGTCGTGCTAGACAGAAGAGGAAGCAAGAGGAGAAGGAGAAGCTAATGTGGAGCAACAAGAACCACAGGTTCAAGATCTGAATCCGGATCCGTCTAGTTATTTTGGGATGAATCTTGCGGCGGCATTGGCGGCGGAGCGTCAGATGAGAGGTTCGGAGGAAACTGGCGGCAGTGAAAGAGCGACACCGTGGAGAGTTTCATTAATGAAACTGTTAGAGGAAACGGAAGGGAATGTGTGCGCCGCGAAGAAGATGAGAGGAGAAGGAATTCGTGTTCTCAAGTAGCTCATGGGTCACGACACAATCAACCATAATCTTTTTTTTTAATTTTCTGTTTCAATTTTATTTTTTTATTTTTTATTTTTACTATTACTTGTTTTTTCAATAAGCTTAACAAAGGCTAAGGCTAGGGGACTGATTCGTTGGGCCTGCTACCTGCACCCTCTCATAAGCCCAGAACTGCATTTTTTTGTAACAGGGAGATGGCTCAGCAAAAAAAAAGAAAAAAGATAACTTCATGGATTGGGCCCAATACCAAAGTCCTGAACTACTGAGCTTACCACTCGAATTCCAGCATACACCCACATATGTTTAATTTTAATTCTTTTTTCTATTTTCCTTTAATTTGCTTTGGCTAGTTTTCTCATTATTATTTTTCTCTTTTTACATGATAAAATGATAAATAAAATTTTTTATTATTAGAATATTTTACGATTTCTCTTCATGATTTCAATTAGAGTTTTTCTACTATTTTATTTTTCATATTTGGTAATCATTTTTACTGCCATTTTTTAGTCAAGATTTTCGTGATAGCATCAATATAACTCTTGAAATATGGAATGCTCGGGGTTAATTCTTCAATCACTCGTTCGAGGAAACTTTGGTAGAATTTTCTTATCACTTGCGTGGCGTCGAAGAGGCAACGGACCTTCTCCGTTCGGTATCATCACAACTCTATTTTATTCTTACTTTACCGCAATCCATATGCATGCTAACATTAGGTAGAATTCCCTCAAAATTATAACTTTAGGTCTAACAACGCATGATAACATTAGGTTTAGAAATAATCTAGTCCCCTTTAACTTTTCTTCTCCTTTCGCATACACATCTAAAACTAAAACTTCTTTTCTTTCAAAATTCAAAACACTTTAAAACTATTGATGAGAATCATGCTTTTGCTTAGTACGAGAAATGATAAGCGAGTCTCTTCTCGATCTTATTGTTCTTCATCTCAAGCATAGGTGTGGTTCAATTCTCAAAGACTCCTTTCATAGCTAAGTAGAAAAATGGCTAATATCTCTCTCTTGAGGTCGACTAGTCATTATCTGCAACAAAATACAAACCAACTCAAACCATTTGTGCGCTCGAGCACTTTTCTAAAAAAAAACCTTTTCAGGTAAGGACACGATTAATTTACTTCTGTGCCAACGCATAAGTCTCCAAAGGTCGAGCTGCGGCAGAAGGCAGAATTAACTTCGTCCACAAAACAACACAAACAAACAAAAACATATGAGCCGAACTACGGTAGCTCTGATTCCTCAAAACGGATACGTAGGCATTGGGGTAGGGCCCAAGCGAGCACAAATTTATTTTCCCTACATTCTTTTCTCTTTTCTATTGCATGCGTTCTCCCTTTAGCAATATAGTAGACAGTAAGCATAGATTGAACACACCCATAAGATAGACAACAAGAGTGGATACCATAGAGTACTACGGGCGTGTGGGGTGCTAATACCTTCCCCTCGCGTAACAGACTCCCTTACCCGATCTCTCGGTCGCAAGACTGTGACTTCTCCGTTCTCAGGTTTTCTCGATGTTTACCTTTCCCTACATGTGGGATAAAAGACGTTCGATGGCGACTTCATTGTTTTGATGATTTTCAGCCGGTTGTTTCAGCTGGCAACTTCACTGGGGAATAGGTCAACCAAATGCTGGTCCATCCCGGAGTCGCTCCTAGCTCTTGCTTTCTTTTCTTTGGGTGTTTATCTTTACGCTTTCAGTTTATTCACTCATTTTGTATATACTTGAGCATACGTATGCATTGCGTTTTACTATTTTCCATATACCACTGCTGTACAGGATCTACTTCTTATTGGGTTGGGATGTTACTATTGAGGTAAAAGGCCCAGTACCCAGGCCAGAGTGCACTAGGACACCTAGGAATAGAGTGGGGGCATGACGGCTATAGGACGTGGTCCGATTAGTGCAGTCATGTCATATACCATGCTCGGATGAGGTTCAAATGAATTACTATCGGCACCCACGTCTGTGGGTAAGCCCATAGCACTTTCAGGCGGACCCGTGATTTTCGAGTTACCATTGCCTTACCCTGACCTATTCTTCACCCGTAAGTGGGGAGGGAATTTTATTACAGGTACAGATGGTGACTGTGTTCAGATGGTTATTCATATTCAGATGGTGACTATGCTCAGACAATGACTATTGGTTCTGATGGCTATATTCTGGATTTCTGTTATGACTTTATGCAGATGCTATATCCTGTTGGTGACTGTACGGTTCTCAGATTTATTTTCTGAGTTCCTGACTTGTTTACCTGGAGGTTCATTCAAGCCTTCAATCTTGGTATTCCCAGCATGTTCAGGAATGCTCAACAGTATTCGTTGTTCCAGAAGCCTTGGTCCCGTACAATGGGAGATCCACATGGTACTTGTTTCTTATATGTGCAGAAGCAATGTCGGACCTTTGATCTGATGATACTCATATGGTTCAGAACAGTGCAACAATAATATTCAGAAATGATGGAACCTTGATCCTCTTTGATCTCATGCCTTTGCATACATAACATGGCTAACCACATGCGTAACATACATGTTCTATTATTTCCAAGGAATCACATTTGCAAGTCTTGTGCTAAACTCTTCCATCCCTTACTTGCGCAAAAACAAAATCAAAGCACGCAAATTCCTTGGAAATGATAAAACATGACATGACATTCATTCATGCACCCCATGCATACTCATGCATTCATAGCAGGTACCCGAAGATTGGGGATTCTTATTCAGACCTGGGGTTCTCTTCAAAGGTTCAACCTGATTTCTCACTGCACATGCTCAAAGATCAGTTATGGAATAACTCCGAGTGCTACATGCAAGCTTTGGCTCGTAGTCAAAAATTTCCTCAAGCAGGAAGATGATGAATTAAAGACTCAGATAAGCCAGGTCATGGAAACTCCGATGATGATATCTATTATTTCTTTAAGACATGATGTGCTTGGTGATGCAATTTATACTGATTCGCTTGGTAAAGCATTCATTCGTTCTCCTGAAAGGATCTTCTATGCATCTTATACTGGGGCACCTGGCCAATCGATTGAAGAAGGTATGTCATCCAGAGACCAAGTCCAAGACCTGATCAATTCAGAGACTGTTGTGTTCACATCAGATCTGAAAGGGGATTCTCTCGCACACTCGAGCATCAAGACTACAGAAAGTCGTCAGAATCAGCAAGTCCATACGGAGTCAAGTCTCCTCAATAGTGGTAATCATTGGTTTCTTTAATGCATTTTCAATTGCATTCTTTCTTGTTTGTTTAAACATTGCTTGTATATAGAAACTTGTCTATTTTTGAATGAAAATCTTAATGCAATAGGTATGCTTGTCTTGAAGTGTTCCTTTCATTTTTACTCATCCATTCTTTATCACTCTTTAAATGTTTTGCTTGCATATTGATGCCAGATTTCCTAGTCTTATGCTTAGGTAAAGATTCAAAGGAGGATGATGACAATCTGAAAACGCAAAATCTCTGGTTGGTATGCTTTTGAGTAGGACCCTGCTGACGATGTACATGCCTTGTTTCAATCCCCAAACACCGGAGATATAAGGGAGATAGACCCTCGTCAACCCCTCTGAGCCTTCGAAGCAGGAGTTTCTTTTCTGTGCAGAAAAAACCCTCATTTTAACCTTGGGGCGGGTAGTGTTCAGCTAATCTGATCAAGCATTCAAAACTCATCAAGAGTGTGCATCCAAGGATACAACAATGGTTATCCATCAAAAGGTTGAGGAAAGTCAAAACCACAACGGTTCACCCTCATCTATCAACAACATGCATCAATTAACAATATCCCAATAGATATCTCTCACACATCAGGAGGTCGACATATGACAATACAATGATGGCTATCCCTCATCTACTAAAGACTCAGGCAGTCACAATCACTTACAACAAATCAAAAATAACGCAAAGATCAACGACTTGTTCAAAGTGGAAAATACGAATAAGAAAGAAACAAAAATCCCTGCTAAGTCGAAACTTGAAAACAAGTCACTTAGGCAAAAATTGGGGCATCCCGCTGGACTTCCAAATCGAAATTCAAAAGAATTTGTCCAGGCAAAAATTAGGGAAAGCAAAAAAGAAATTGAAAAGCCTAAAAGGCGAGAAAAGGATTACCGATGAAAATCCTCATCAAAGAACAAAGTCGTCTGATCAGACACCAAAATCAGAAGTTAGTGACTGTCGTGTCCAAGAAACCACAGTGGTTCCTCAACCATTGCAAACTCTTCTCGAGAGATGAACGCTTATATCAGGTCAACTGAACGTAGGAATGGAGAACATCATGGAGAATGGGTGGGCACCAAATAATTTTGAGCCTTAAATCCTTTTTTCTAAAAACCGTGAACTAGGCCACGTTACAACCCATAAAAGTCCTAATTGAAGCATGGTCAATTCGAAAGCGTGCTACAACGAGATAGCATTTAACTGACTCCTAAGAGGTACGTCTCAATATCTGTTTTGGCATCATATGCTTGCATTATCTTTCAAAAAAGAATTTGCAAATATTTCTCTCTAGCTAGTGACTCGTTCACAACAGAGTTGTGACGTCATTTCATTCAAAGTTTTTTCAAACTTCAAGACTTACATATGTGTTGCATTAGAATTATCATTCTCATAATAAACATTCTTCTGCATACAAAACAACTGATCGACATCAAGTAAGTTTACACAATGAACAATCGGTAAAGAGCTCAATCTTGTCAGAGAAGAGAGGCTTGAATACCCTGTTGAAGCAAGAGTCAGCTGCCACAAGAGAAATGACTAATCCAGAGGCATGTTAAACCAGAGATTCTGTCAAGAGAAATCATCTTGGTACTTCACAGTCTGAGTACCATTCAGGGATGAAGTTAGCAGAGCCTGCCAATCTGAGGCAATCAAGTCAAGAGTCGATCTCTCCAAGTTTAGCCAAATATGGGGCATTCCCTCAAAGCTACCAATCAAAGGCTATCACGTCGATAAATCTCTTCAAGCTCGATCAATCAGAGGCTATCACG